AAAAAAAAAAAAAAAAAAAAAAAAAGAAAGAAAGAAAAAGAAAAATCAATCATTAAATGTGGCTGCATAAGATGGAAATGGTGGTGCATGCCTGTACTCCTAGCACTCAGGAGGCTGAGGGAGGAGGATTATTGCAAGTTCGAGGCCAGCCTGGGTGACAAAGTGAGCTCAAGGCCAGCCTGAGCTGCATACCAAGAGCCTGTCTCAAAAACTCAAAAAGGAAAACAACTCTGGTAGGCTGAGGCAGGAGGATTAAAAGTTCAAGCATACCTTAGGCAATTTAGTGACTTAGTGAGATCCTGTCTCAAAATAAAAATTTAAGAAGGACTAGGTGTGTAACAAAGGTCCTGGGGTTTCTTTATTTTTGGGTTTGGGGTTGTTTTTGGCCGAGGGGAGTGATTGCTAGTAAATATCCTTTGCTTTTCCCTGAAACCAGCTGCAATCTTGGCCTTTACATCCTCAGCGTAGGCTAATGCTGACCTTGCGGGTGGGGGCCTATGGAGAAGCCAGGGGCAGAGTACATGAAGGACCCCTTCTCCTGCCTATAATCCTAGTACTCCAGAAGCCAAGACAGGAGGATTGCCAAAAGTTTGAGGCCAGTGTGTTACACAGTGAGTTTAAGCCCAGGTTGAACTAAGCAAGATCCTGTATTTAAAAAAAAAAAAAAAAAGTTTCCTCTGCATTAGAAAGGTAGACTCTCTGGCCACTGTCCCGGGGAACCCTACAAATGTATCCCCACTCACCCCACCTCCCATTCCTCACCTGGTCTTTCTCCGCAGGTCAGCATGGCCACCCTCGATGCTGAAGTCCCCCTGACCTTGGGCCTCAACCTCTCGTGCCTGAGTCAAGCTGAGCACATCTTGGAGCTGCGGCCAGCTCTGCAGGGGCTGGGAGGCCAAGTCCAATATGTCATCGCCCGTGGCAACAGGCAAAGCTTCTTCCGCATGCAGCACCGCAGCGGCCTCAGCTCCCTGCAGCTAGGGCGGCGGAGGCCGCAGCCTGGAAGGTACCAGCTGGAAGTGCTGAGTGTGGCAGGGGCCCGGAGCATCTGGCAGGGACCCAAGGGCCGGGCCTTGCGGCTGAAGGTGCAATTGCAACTCCTCTAGTTGGGAGGAGCCTCGATGGGTCCCAGAACTCCAGCACCAGCAGATTCTGGAACTTGGGGGACTGCTCCTCAGCAGCAACAATGACCAGGTGAAACCCCACAACTCAGGAAGAGTGGCATGCTACACTATGACCTCAGACAAGCCCCGCCTGTGCCCACACCCTCTGCGGCAGCCCCGGGAACCCCAACACTCATATTTCCTGGAGACATCTAAACGCTGCGTGCTGCCACCCCCACGCCGGGCCGGCAGGGGTCCCCCTGGTCTTGGCCTCTGGTCAATCTCAGGCTTAAGCTTCTGTACTGCGCTGTAGCCCCCGCCCTCCACCAGGGCTGGCAGGACATCGGGCAGGTGGCTGGGTGGGTGAGGGGCCTGTCCCTCAGAACTGAAAAGGGAACCCCAACCCCCCTCCCCAGTGTCCGTGACTCATTGCGACCTGCTCACTCCTGTGGGTCCTGGGCTGGGGATCCGAGGGTGCTTTTATATCCCAAGTGGAAACAGCAATAAAGTTATTGCTGTGTTTTGGCAGGTGCTCAAATTCAAATAACACACTGCTCTCCCGACTTTGCAGCCCTTGAATGGGGGACACCAGCCCAGGGGACCAATCAGTTCTGCCAGTGCCACCCTGTGCATTCAGCACTACCTACAGCCACGCCATGAGTGACAACCACTATGGCAGCTCGTGGGGCCCCACGCTAGGTACCTGACACCGCTTCAAGTGCCTTACTGTGGTTGACCTCTCTGATCATCACTATAGTCCCATGAAGCAGATGGGGTTTTATGCCCCCATTTTACAGACAGAGAAACTGAGACCCTGAGAGGTTAAGCAGCTTGACCAAGGAAGGGCAGGGCAAATGGAAAGCCAGGCAGCTGGGCCAGCACCCATGCGGCCCACCACCAACACTGTGTACTGTGTGCTATGCATGTGCCAAGGCTGCTGAGGGTACTTGTACATTTGGGCCCCAGCAAACGCCACCAAGGCAGGTACCCATCACCCTCATTTTATGGCAGAATGAAAGCTGAGGCTTAGAGAATTCTGATAGCCAGCTGGATTCCCCCCCACCATAAAATATGAGATGGTCTCTGTGTGGTTTTATGTTGGAGTTTTTTGGTACCAGAATCGAACTAGGGACCTTGCACTTGCCAGGCAGGCACTGTGCCTCTGAGCTATAGCCCCAGCCCCAAGGTGTGAGATGGGCTTGAGGGCTTCTCTTTGAGGCCACATCCTGGCCCCTGACCTTACACCACCTGGGCATCCCTTAGAGAGGGTGTGTTTGGTTTCCCCCCAGAACCTTCTCTGGGGTCCTGGAACTGAGGCTGCCCCCTCTAGTGCTTGATCGAGGGCTTTGTCTCCTCCCGGTCCTGGACACTTATTTGCCTGTGGCCTCTGGGCGACCTGTACAGCTTGCAGAGAGAGAGTCTCCCACCCTTAGTCAGCTGGACCTTCAGGCCTGGAAAGCTAGATGAGGCAACCACAATGCTGACTCCATGGTACAGATAAAGGTTGCTGCGAAGATTCAGCCCAGAAGCTGTCCCTTCTGAGGGCTCAACACAGATCTTGGCTAAGGGTGGATCGCTCAGGCACCCCATAACAAAACATGACGGGCATGGGAACATCATTCTCCCAGGAGGTTTATTTAAAAATTGTAATAGATAAAAAAAAGAAGAAGAAGAAGAAAAAAAAAGCACAGTCTAGGAGATGTCCTCAGACAAGCCAAAGCTTTGCAGGACCTGGGGGGTGGGTGGGTGGCAGGAAGTCACAGGTAAGCAATGTACCTGGGGTGGGGCAATGGCCTGTAGTAAGAGTCTCTGCCCAAAACTGATGCTGATCCTGGCTGAACCTCCTTTCCAACCATTCAAGAGGAGGAAGAGGCAGAACCAGAGAGGAACCGATGCTGGCACAGGGATGAGGTCGCCGCACATTGAAGGACATAGGGCTGAGCAGCAGCTAGAAAGAAAGACTGCAGCACCGGGTGCCATCGGAGGGTCCCAGAAAGGTCAGGGCTCAGCGTCCTGCAGGAGAAGGGGAGAGGGGCTGGTGGCTGCTCTATCCCGGTCCCACCATGGAGCTCCTAAACCCTTGCAATCTGAGCCACGAGGAGCATCTCTTGTCCTGACATTTGGTCTTTGGCCTCAGTTGCTAGCGCAGAGCCCCAAACTCCTCGGAACTTCCAGGAAGATGGCACCGTCTTTTGTTCTTAAGAGGCAAGTGCTGAGTGCAAGCTGTGATTAGCCTGAACGTTTCTGTTCCCTCTGGAGTGGGGAAAGATGCTGGAGTAGGGTTAATAATCCATCGTGCCACCACGATAAAGCCTCCATAAAAAGTCCCTCCACTGCAGGTTGCAGAAAGTTCCCCAGGTAGTGAACTCATTTGTGTTCCAGGAGGGCGGCACACCCCGATCCCACAGCACGGAGCTGGGGGTCTCTGCAGACTTTGCACTGTGTAGCTCTTTCAGCTAGCTATTCATTCTCTTAGTCAGCGCTGTGCACAGCACTGATCACAATGTACAATGTGTGTTTCAATTTTAAAATATTTGTTACAGTTAAAGATAGATGTCTGTGAATTCACCTCAGAATACTCAAAATCCTCTCCTTCCCTTCAAACCCACTTATCCCACCATTCTTGGCAGTTTCTAAAGCAGCTCTGGATATTTTTCATGACTGTCTTTTTTCTTTCTTTCTTCTTTCTTTTCTTTTCTTTTCTTTTCTTTTTTCAGTACTAGGGATAGAATTCAGGACCTTGCACTTGCCAGGCAGGTACTTATGCCACCAAGCTATCTCCCCAGCCCTCATGAGTGTCTTTGTGAGGTTTTGTGAGATTTTTACTAGATCAAAAATCTTGGGACCAGGGAGATGGCTCAGTAGGATAAGTGCTTGGCAGGCAAACACAAGGATCTGAGTTCAATCCCCGGTTCTGCAAAAAAAAAAAAAAAAAAAATCTAGTAAATGCTGCTGCTGATGGGTGATATTCAACAGAAAGGCAAGCTCAAACAAACATGACAGTGTGTCCTCTGCCAGCGTATTCACCGGATGTCACTGGGCTACCTCTTCCCCAAGGTCAAAAGGACCATGAAAGCCTAAGTTTGAATCAATTCAGGACACAGAGGCAGCTCAACTAGAGATAGTCACGAAGGAGGCCCTCCAGAAGTGCTTCAGAAAACTGCAAGCCCAATGGGATCAAGTGTGTTCAAAGGGAGGAGGATTGGTGGCAGTATGCCTTTTCCAGTTGCCTTGCTTCTGTGGTTTCCTTTTGATTTTTCTTTTTTTCCCTTTGTTTTTTACTTTTTTCTTTAAACATATCAAGTATCTCTTTTATCTGGCCGCACCCCCAAAGCCTTAGCACTATCCTTTACAATAAACCAGTAGGCACAAGGAAGTGTTTCCCAAGTCCCTGGGCTGCTCTAGCTAGTAAGAGGACCCCAGGAGGCGATCACAGGAGTCCTGCTCACCCCTAGTGATCCAGAAGGGTAGGCCGCAACTCGCCGGATGGGCGCTACGTACCAGTCACCGTGCGATTGTTGATTCGTTTTTTTGTCGCTAGAGGCCTGTGGAATAAGCGATGTTATTATCATCTCTTCTTTACAGAAGGGGAAACTGAGGCCCGGGCTGGTTGCATGGGGGGGGGTCGTATGCAGCAGAGCCCTTAACTTGCGGCAACTGTCGCTATCTCCTGGGAGTCGTTTGTTTTGCTTTTGGTGCTGGGAGGCGACCCAGGGCCAGGCACATGCGCAGTAGGCATTTCCCGACCCCCGCCTCCCTGCTAGAGTGGCTTCGAGGGGGGGGAGTTTTGAGCTTATAGAGAGAGGTATGAACTGAAGAAAATACTCTTTCCATCCACTGGACCCCAGCACCGCTTGGCTCACCTGCCTGGTGCTTCACATTGGCGCTCACCCAAGCCTCCCGACTGGGCCGGAGCTTCTAGCAGGAGCCTCAGTACAGCGGCCAGGACTGGCACGCAGCCGGCTCTCCTTGGTCCTGAGATGACCACCTTGTCCCAGTCTGGGTCTAGCTGAGCCCTCAAGCCTGAACAAAGGTGATAGAGGAGCGAGGGTCGCGGGAGCCGGGGTCCTTACCCAGCATTCTTCTTTCTGTTGCTCACGGGAAGCTTCGACCTGCTCCATGGCCTCTTGGGCGCTCCAGAATTCAGCTTTTCCCCCCAACCCTGGAAGCCTATCAGAGGATGGAGACAGAAGCAATCAGACGGCCCCACCATCTTTGAGCCCCTGGGTCCAGCCAAGCCTGAAGCTGCGGGCTTATTATTTGCATGGACGAGTTCCTGCTTTGAGCTTTCCCTCTGCAGCCCTTGAAAGCTTCTGGAGCAGCAGAACCGCTGGTCCCGACCCCACTGGTCATTCACTGTTTCCTCTTCATCAGCAGCAGGCTCTCTCTGGGGTAGGAGTGCATGGGGCCCTGATTCTCTCAGGACCCACACACAGGAGGGCTGGGTCTCACCCACCTGGGAGAGCGGTGCCATTGCTGACTTCCCTCAAGCGCTTCTTTTGGGCACTCAAGAGTTCTACGGCCTTCCTCACCCACTTGTTCTGTGGGTCCCCACACACAACCCTGCCCGGCTCTTGGAACTGGAATCTAGGGAGAGCACGCGGGGGGGAGTTATAGTGCAAAGGTGGGGACCAAGGCTGTGTGCAGCCCTCACCCCCAGCCCCTGGGACCCTACTCACATCACAGCATGCAGATTGCAACTTCCGCTCACGTCCTGCCAATAGAAATTCCTAACGTGCCGCAGGTGCCGAAACAGGGACTGCTTGAGGTGGGGGCTATAGGCCAGACAGCAGTCCTCCGAGATACCTGCAAACACACCCCACTTGCACGCTCAAGGCAGTGTGTGTGTGCGTGTGTGTGTGTGCACGCGTGCTTGGCAGGGACAGAGAGAGGCAACTGGGAGAACATGCAGGGCATACTACACTTCTAGACCCTGCAGAGACCGAGAACACTTGACCTGAGCCGGGCACAGTGACAGAGGCCTGTCATCCCAGCACTCAGGAGGCTGAGGCAGGAAGATTGCTATAAGCTCAAGGCCAGCCAGGGCTACATAGCAAGACTCTGTTTCAAAATCTGGAAGAAAAAAAAAAAAAGGAAAGAAGGAAAACGGAAAAGGAAAAGAAAAGGCTTGTCCTGGCTCACTCTTACCTCTTGATACAGGGACTGGAGCAGGAGCCAGCAGGGCTCCAGAGGCCCTAGCCAGGACGGCTGTGGACCACCAGAAGGATGGCCCAAGATGCCTCCTACTCCTGCTTAGGGCCAGGGGGCAGCACCCTGAGGAGGGGCTGAGGACCCCCTTTTCCTGAAAAGGAGCACACTGGCTAACTGTTCCTTAGGCTCTAGCTCCACGCTGCCCTGTACCTACACAGGTCCCCTCAGATCCCCCTCCTTTCTGACCCCACCCCAGTGACCACTCAAGTGATCTGGTCAAACCTGGGAGTTCTGTGTATGTTTATCCATGTGTCTAGCAATAACATTTTTATTTTTTTGAGACAGGGTCTCACTACCTAGCCCAGGTTGCCCTTGAACTCCCAGCAATCCTCCTGCCTTAGCTTCCTGAGTGTTAGGATGACAGGCGTGGGCCACCACACCTGGCTGTTACAGAAGCATTTAAAGAGCTCCTATGGATGCCAGACATGCAGACACCACAGCAAGGAACTGGAGAGCATGTGTGCTGTCTCGGGAACTCTGAAGCCTGCTGGGGAAACAGGAGGCTGCTGTATGCAAAGGGGGACACACTGACACTGGGGTTGCCTAAGGAGGAGGTGGCAATGGCAGAAAGAGTGGAGGGAGAGGAGCAGGTGGAGGGAATGGTCAGAGGCGGCGCTGAAAGAGCAGGCATGGTGGAAACCAAGGTGGGTTCTTCTGCCGTCTCTGTGGGAACTTGCTTTCACTTCTGCTTCTGGGGGACAGGCTGTGGAGCAGGGGGAGGCTCAGCCTGGACCTTGGCCTCACAGGCCAGGTGGCAGATAGGACCTGTGCTCCAGGGATTCTCCAGGGTAGCTCGCCACACTGAAGGCTGCATTCCCCCTGATCAAAGGGCAGGGGTTGGGCCTGGCCCTGATGGAGCCCAGCCTCCTTCCTGGGCAAAGGCTAGCTCTGCTCCTGGAGCAGGACCCTGGGAAGGGGCAAGTGGGCCAGGACCCCTGCAAGGCTGTCTGTGGGACCCAGGGGTGCCGCCAGGGGCCACGGGATGCAGCACCCACGTCTGGGCTCCTGAGAAATGCCCTTTAAGCCCCTGGATTCAGCTGAGCCTGAAGCCTTTGGCTGGTGATTGGAGCTGACAGCTTTCCCTTCTGCGGGCTGCATGCTTAGCACTGGCCTTTGGTCACCAAAATCCTGCTCTAGAGTGGGAGTGGGGGGAGGACAGAGCACGCTCTCTAGTACTAAGAAGATAACAGTTCTTATCACCAGTGCCGAGCACTGGGCTGAGAGGCTTTGTAGCCGCCAGTTCACTGGTCCTCGTGTCTCCTCCATGAGTGCAAGTTTCACATCCTCACCTTCCAGATGGGGAAACTGAGGCCCATAAAACTGAGTTGCAACTGTCAGCCAGGTTGCACAGAGACTTGGGGACAGGGCCTGAGGTGGACCCTGGCTCTGCCCGGTCGGCATACTGCGATGCACACGGCTGCCAGTGGCTTCACTACAGCTGAGGCCAAGTCTCTAGGTCCAAGAGACCCTGCTCTGCTCCCCAAGTCTCGAGGCCACAAAGAAGTCACCAGAGTAGGGGAAGGGGCTTGGAAAGGAAAGGACTTGGGACCCTCCGTCTCCCTCCATGGGAGTTGGACAAACACCAGGAATTCCTACCCTGACCAGAGACTCCGGAAAGAAAGGAGAGCCAAATGGGGACACCAAGGGATGCACAGAGGGAGTGAGATCGGGTTCCCAGGGAGGGGAGGGAAGACCAAAGATAGTACCTTGGGGGTGGACAGCAGGGACCCAGGCTCCCGCGAAGAAAGCCACCAGGCAGGCAAGGAGCCACGGGCTCATGGCACAGGCTGGCCCTCAAGGGATCACAGAGCCACCTGGGGAGGCAGAAAGGAGTGACTCGGACTGAGGAGGACAGCTGCAGACCCTGGGAACACCTACATCTCAAGCCAGCCCCTGGGTGCACGGTGAGAGAGGCAGGTGACAACACCTAGGATCCCAAGGACAGAGGGGACCTGCTGTGGGGCCCATCCAGGGGAAGGGGAGGACTCACCGATGAACGCAGGGTCGCAGGAGCTGGGGCCCGCAGGGGTGCACAGCCTGAGAGGAGCAGGGGCTGAGCCGCACCCTTTATAGGTGGCGCCCCACCTTGCAACGCCCCTCCCTTCCCCCTTCCCCTTTCCTCCACACCTGGGACTCTAGACTTTTCCCTGCTGTACATGAGCATGCCCTGAGCCCTGCTGTCTCACAGGTTTAGCTCCCCACACCCCTTCTGCCCCCTTCTACCCCAGCCTCCTGGCCAGCGCCCCGCTGTCACCCCACAGTCTCCGCCTTCTGCAGTCCCTCACTGAAGAGGAAGCCTTTCCCCGTGGCCCACTCCTGAGCCACCGGTCAGCTTGGTGGCCTGACCTCATCGTGCTCCACCCGCACTGCAGAGTGGTTTGTCCCAGCACAGAGATGCCCCGGTTTTGAGAACAGGAGTATCCAGAGAAACAGAAAGCAAATGCCCGGAGGCTTGGGGCAGGGGGTGCCGTCTAGGCTAAAACAGGGCAGCGGGGAACGGGCACCCCCAGTTAACATCGCTAATGGTGCATGTTTAACGGGCTGAGAGGATGGCAGGTGGATTTTCTTCAGTAGTATATTGAGAGTGACCCCAGTATAACTTTTATTAACAACCTCAACCACAAAGAAAAAGATTCGTTTTGAAAGCACAGTCAGAATCCCCAGTTAATCATGTCCGGGAGAAGCAAAGCAAATTTCATCTACGAAGTGTATTTTTTACCTGGGTCATGGTGACCTATTGGGAACAGGAGAGAGTGGGCTGGGGAAGAAGGATGAAGGAGGGACGAGGCAGAGAGCTCCCAACTGTTTTTTTTTTTTTTTTTTTTTTTTGAGACCAGGTCTGAAAGACCCTGAGAAACGTTGCCGGGGCGGGCCTCAAATTCATGATTCTCCTGCCTCAGCCTCCAGAGTGGTGAGATCACAGGCGTGTCCCCCACACCCCGCCCACTGATTACTTTTAACTTTTTTTTTCTTTTTTGCAGTGGGGTGGAGATAAACTCAGGGCTTGGCGCGGTGCTATACGGCTGAGCCACATCCCGTGGCCTGATGTTAACTTTGGATAGATAGATCGTCTGTTGCTACCTCCAAGTCCTCTAGGTACTCATCACATTCTGAACGCCCCAGACCGAGCCTCACTGCTGGGCCTCTGTTTGCAGAAGAGGGTCCTAAGGCGGAGTGGGCGGGGCTTCAGGGGGCGGGGCTTCAGGGGATGGCCCACTGGGCGAGGCTAATGGGTGGAGCCTGATGAATGGCGCTCAGTGCTGCGGGCGGTATGGGCGGGGCTTGTAGCCGTTGTCGGGTTTCAGGAAAGGCGCTTAGAGGAGGGGGCGGGGCTTAGCTGTGGGCGGGGCTTGTGGGCGTCCGGTCTTCGCTCCTTGCTATTCACATTCCCCAGCCTCCTGCTCCGGGTGGGCGAGGCTGGGCTGACTCGGATTCGCGTGGTCGCGGGCTTGGGGACGCGGCGTGGCGGGCCATAGCCAGCCTACTCACTGCGGCTCATTGCCCCTGTCTGCCCAGTTCACTTTAGGGGAGCTCATCACCCTGCCCTGCCCTGCCGGATTGAGCTACCAGCAGCCTTCTTGGCGGGAGGGGTCCTGAAAAGGAGCCAAGGGGAACAGAATGCCGAGTTTGCAGATGTGCGCTGGGGACCCAGATGTCCAGGCGGGAGAGAAGTTGCTCAAGGAAACCAGGACCTGAGCTAAAGAGCGAACCATCTGTAGGAAAGTGGGTGCACCTTAAAAGCATAATATTAATTGAAATAAATCATCACACACACAGGCTTAAATATCACGTGGTTTACCTCATATGAGAAATTCCGTTTAAGGGCCGTTGAGATGGCTCAGCGGTCTAAGCACCTGCCTGGCAAGTGCAAAGACCTGGGTTCAATCCCGGATACCACATGATGCGCCTGCCCTGCGCCGTGTGGGCCACCGAAACCGGGCATGGCGGCACATGACTGCAATCCCAGCGTTAGGGAGGCTGAGACAGGAGGATCACTGTGAGTCTGAGCTGTGTAGTGAAGCCCTTTACCAAATAAATAAATGAATGATTTAAATTTAAAAAAGAAAATAGAAAACAGGAAGCTAGACCAAAAGATGATAGAGGGGGGCTGGGGTGATAGCTCAGTAGAATAAGTGCCTGACTGGTAAGTGAAGGGTCCTGAGTTCAATCCTCTGGTACCATAAAAAAAGAAAAAGAAAAAGATGATGGAGGGAGGAGTAGAGAAGGCCTTAACGAGAGTTAAGATGTGTTCTGGGCGTGCACCAACCCGCACAAGAAATGTAATCATTATGGTACCCACAGAGCCTCTCTTCCCTACTAACGTGAAATGAGCCAAGCTGGGGTGGGGGGCAGAATCGCCTGCCCTTTTGCCTTCCAGCTCATCAGATCCAGTGATGGGGTGATTTGGGGGTCTTAAGCTGCTACTCAAACTTGGGGACTGATGCCACCCCAGAGCTTGCAGGGTTGGGAGGCAGGCAGGGCTCATCTGTCCACACACTGAGCCAGCTGTCTCGGGCAGGAGGCCACAGGGGCTGGCAGGACCCTAGATCCATGCAGGGTACTTCTAGTCCATGCCCACAGGTGGAAGATCCAGCCCTAAGGGAGGACACAGAGGACCAGCAAGGCCAGGTCATTTAACTTTATTTTTAAAATGTATCTAGTACAGGGTCTCACTACACAGATCCCACTCATAGTGATCCTCCTGCTTTCAGCCTCCCATGCACTGGGATTACAGGTGTGCACCTCCATGCCCAGTCTCAATCGCCGTCTCAGCATGCCCCGGGGGCGGGGCTGGCACTGCACGCTGGAAATCGAACCCTGATCCCTGTGTCTGCCTAAACAGGCGTTTTAATCCAATGAGCTATTTGGCTGGCCCCCATTATATATCACAAGTATGTGGTATTAAAAACATTTTTCAAGTGTTTTCCTTACATATTTAAGTGTTCTGGTGTTGAGTGTAGCTCTATTTCCTATTTGCAAGGACATCTTTTCCCATACCTTCATTTTTGCACTATGTGTGCCCTTAACCCAGTTGCTTCTTACTTTGGTCCAGACGCACAGTGGTTGCCTGGCAACTGGAGGAGGGGAGGAAAAGGATTTTAACAGGATGCTGTAGAAGCCCCCAGCCTGATGTTCTGGAATGTGGTCTATGGACAGTTCCTGTGTGACCCCTTTCACTGTGTCACCAATGTGGTTGGCGCTGCTGCCTCCTGGAAGGCCAGCTGGGCAGGGCTTTCTGCTCCAGGCTGATCAGCAACCTCTCTGTTCCAGGGGGGCACTGGCAGCAGGGGCCATGGGTGGGGCCACAGCCATGCGGAAGGAGGGAGGGGGAAGGGACCAAACAGAGGGGCTCCGTAGGGCCTCAGTCGATCTTTGAAGGTGCTGAGTTCTGCTTCCCTTTCCACACAGGTTTTCTAAATCTCTCTGTCTCTGTCTCTGTCTCACTGTTTCTGCCTGTCTCTGTCTGTCTCTCTCTGTCTCTCATACTTGGGATTAAACCCAAGGCCTTCTTGCTGTGCTACATCTCCAGTCCTTTTATAAATTATTTTCATTTTGAGACAGTCTCCCTTTGTCACCAACTTGTACAGTCTTGTCTTAAATTTGCAATTGTGCCTCAGCCTCACAGAGTGCTGACATTATAGGCAGGCACCACCATACCTGGCTTCTGAGCATCCTGTATGCACCAGCCTAGTGCAGGGACACGGGTGACAGCAATAAGCAAGAAGTGTCGGGACCATCAAAGATGATAGTGATGTCACTGAATTCTCACTGAGCTCTAGTTTGGGGCTGTTTGATAGTGCATTCACTCAGGGCTGGTGAGATAGCTTAGGGGACTAAGCACCTGCTTATGAAAGTGCAGGGACCAGGGTTTGATCTCAGGCACCACATGCCATGTGGAACCACCCCGGGTGTGCTGAGCCAGCAACAGAGACTGGGTGTGGTGGTGCACGCCTGTAATCCCAGCACTGGGGAGGCTCAAAACAGGAGGATCACAATGAGTCCGAGCTGTGTAGTGAGACCCTGTACCACATTCAAAACAAAACAAAACAAAACACAGTGCATTCACTCAACAAACACCGTATGAGTGTCTTACTGTCTGCCAGGTATAGAGCTGTGTGCCAATCCTAAACCTGCCTACCCAGCCTCAATTGCTCCTGTCCAAGGAAGCCACAAAAATAGAAGCTCTGGGCCAGGGAGATGGCTCAGTGGAATAAGCACTTCTCTCTCCTGTGTCTCCTGACAGATGCTGGTGCTTTCTTGTGTTGCCTTTGGAGACCTTGACAATGAGGGTCTCAGCTGCACCCTGCTTACGGTCAACACCCAAGACAAGCAGCTAGACAGTGCAAGACGCTCTGAGATCAGGGTTGGGGCCTCCCAGGCCATGTGGCAGAGACAAACTAGGGATGAGCTGGGCCCCTCCCAAGGGAAGGTTAGCGGAAGGAGGCTGAGTCAGGAGGGTCCCAAGTTCGAGTCCTGCTTGGGCATCTTAGTGAGACCCTGCATCAAAAAAAAAAAAAAAAAATGGTCTGGGAATGTAGCTCATGGTAGAGCGCCCTCAGTTCTACCCTTTGAACAGTGGGGTGCGGGTGGCTTAAGGTAACAAGAACACTGTAAGGTTAAAAACATGTCCCCACTTCATGAGGAAAAAGCAATCAAGAGAAACTCAGCTGCCTGGCCAAGGTTCAGCAAAGCCGAATCACAAACCTGGATCTGCTACTTCCGCCCCACATGCACCCCGGGGCTGTGGGGTTGAGCCAGGTTTATACTCTGAGGTTATC